GCGGCCTATATTGTTGGGTTTGCTTCCCTGGAGTTAGACGGTCAGTTGCGATCCTGCCAGAGGAGTTTTTTGGAATTTGGATTGTGATATTATGTTCACGGGCGGCTTAGCTCTAAACGCTGCCTTCGTTTGCTTTTTGGCGCAGGGGCTCATGCGTCATGCGTTGGTCAACGTTTCCTTGAATAATTCAAAAGCACACAAACCCCCACCCAACCAACCCTTCAAGAATGCAAGAGACATGAAAACACGAGGTGACCCTCTCTCTTTCTCTCTCTCTTGACCTCACAGATTGTGGTGGAGAAATGCATGGTTCGATCAACACATACGATTCCCAGCAGGCCTCACACCCACACCTCTCCCTTGCCTGTGAATGAACTTCTGCCCCCTTCCGGGCCTTCCAGGCAAGGTGGCGTGAGTGACAGTCATGTCTCAACTTCAGATGCGTTCAGGGCACACTAAAGTCCACGCGATATCAAACCCTACAGGTAAGACTCCTCGCAAAGGAACAGAAGGGAAGGTAAGAAGAGGACTTACTTACCTGGGGGGGGTGGGTGACGAATGCGAGGGGACGCAACCTCCCCCTCCCTCACTGAGAGCTTTGAGCCAAAATTGGCCCGAGGGAGGGGTGAAGTCATCAACTCAACACACAGGACCAAGTGTGAAGAATTATTACTTACAAATAAGATTTGTTGCACAATAATTCAAAAGCACACAAACCCCCACCCAACCAACCCTTCAAGAATGCAAGAGACATGAAAACACGGGGCGTGTCTCTCTCTCTCTCTCTCTCTCTCTCTCTTTTGACCTCACAGATTGGTGGAGAAATGCATGGTTCGATCAACACATACGACTCCCAGCAGGCCTGACACCCACACCTCTCCCTTGCCTGTGAATGAACTTCTGCTCCCTTCCGGGCCTTCCAGGCAAGGTGGCGTGAGTGACAGTCATGTCTCAACTTCAGACGCGTTCAGGGCACCAAAGTCCATGCGATATCAAACCTCCTCTATTTCTCCACCGCCTTCTGCTTCATATGCAACGTACTGTGCCGTATGGGAACTTCGAGATGTCCCCTGGATCCACGTAAGTCACGTGGCGAGAAACCGTGGCCCATTTCCAGCCACACTTGGTCGCCCACATTGCCGGGACTTCCCAAAATAAACAGCCTTGGGTTGAATGCACTTTGTCTGTAACCAAGTTTCGGATGTAGGAGGGTCGGATGCTGTTCCACATCTGGCGAATCTCAGTTTCAAGCATCCCCACCGCAACATTGGCAGGCGCCGCCTGGGTGACTGGGTGTGACAATGGTCACCGCAGCGCCCAACCTCTTCTTTCATCTGATTCAGCTCCTGGCGAAGGCCAGTGAGCGCTTCGTGCACTTGCCGGTAATCTGCCAACGCCGTGGCAAAGGATGGGCAATCTTCATAGGCATCCTCTATGTCACGAAAGGTAGCCCTTTAGGGGATACTTTGTTTTGTCTTGCGAAGCAAGTGTTGGGACGTCCGGGTCTAATAATTGATCGCTCAATTCAGACCCCCCCTCGAATTGATTTTTCAATACAGACCCCCCTCCCCCCCGCCCCCTTGGAATTGATTTTTCAATACAGACCCCCTCCTTCTCCCCCCTCTAAAATCAATTCTCTCCTGGAGAACGTCTTCGTGAGCCTCTCATGACTTCAGGATAGTTGAAACCCTCTTGAACACTCAGAAAGAGTGAATATGAAATTCTAATCACGAAAGGTGTTCCCCGAGGGGATACATACCTAGAGTTTGTTTTGTGAAGCATGTCAATTCTCTCCTGGGGAGCGTCCTCGTGAGCCTCTTATGGTTTCAGGATAGTTCAAATCCTATGATGTTCCGATTCAATGCTCACCGATGATCTGAGCCATGGGGCAAGTTTGTTTTCCTAAGAATCTTATTGAACATTTCAAGAGCACATGTTTGAACATTTAAAGTGCATATGAACATATATTTACGAAAGGTCGCCCCCGAGGGGATAAACCACCATGTCGAACATTGCATTTTTGTTCCTGCCTCTCGCGTTCTCTTCTCTTCCCGCTGTCCTATCTTTCGTGTCTCCCTCCTCTCAAGTATGCTTCGATGGCCGCAGAGGAATGCCTTGGCGTCTGCATTATCAGTTCCTTGGGGGTGCCAGCGCGGGCAAGCGCTTTGACTCCACTTCGCCTCATGAAATGCCCTGGAACAATCTCCGCAAGCCGGGCAGCGTCCAGTTGGGCCGCCTCCACGACGTCAGCTTTGGCGGCGTAGTGGAAAGGTGAGCCCTGTTGGCCTGCCAAGGGTACTGAGCGTGCAGCGAGCGAGTCACGGTCCACGTTGGTTCTGGCCACCTGACGAACAACGAGTTCTTTGGCTACCTCGTACGGACAGTTCAATCCATGAAACGAGGATTCTTGTCGATCCCCGCAGCATCTCAAGGTCCGGCGCGCCCCGCGACCAGAAGGGTCGGTTTTTGTGACCGGCAATGCCAAGGTCACTGTTCTAGCCAGGAGCACCGTGCTAGAGTGCATGTCGAGGCAGGCCAACTCTGCCTCACGTAGAAGGAAATGAGTGCCGAAGCTCCAAAGCAGAACCCCTCCCGCAGGGGCCGTAGCTTTTACGGGTGGAGTCGCCCCATTTTCAGCAAGGTAAAGCTGTTGCCACCAAGTCAGCCTCACCTCCTCGGCTCTCTTGCAAGGCCCTAGCCCTTTTTGACACGCGCGCTTGCAATCCTGCAAAATGACCTGCAGTTCAGGAGTCCAAGAGAAGTCTCCCCTGGCATGCCGCTCACGAGCCCCGAGGAGGTAGTTGTAAGTTGCTCTGAAGCCGCTTGCGCGCATGACAGCGCAGAAGATCTCACACTTCACTGGAGTCATAGGCAGCGGCGACTGGCCTGTGGACTGCATCACTTCGCACCATGCCTTGAAGAGGGAAGACTTTGTCCCCAGCGTGCCAGCAGAGTAGGTCAGTTGATGAAAACCAGTTCGCGCTCGATGGAGCAGAGTGGGGTCATTCGCAATCTCGAGAGCGCTCTTGAGCGAGGGTCTTAGCCTATCCACGTCAACACTCTGGTCAGGCTCCAACGGGGCTCTGGGTCTCTGCGAATCAGGCGGTCTGTGTCAAGCACCTGGCTCACTTCTGCTTGCGACCCAGGCTCATCCTGAACTGCCGCAACCCCGTTAGCATCAGCACAAGTGCCCTCAATTCCAAGGCTCACGTCTAGCCCTGGCCACTGCCGGTGGGATCTCTTCATTCACAACCAACCCTGTGCCTCTTCCGACACACCAAGCTGACATGGGTCTCCCCCCACTGACGCCACACGAAGAAACGCTTGGCCGCACATTCGATGGCAGGGCACTGGTGCGCCCCGTCCATCCAAGTGAGCGCCGGCTCGTGCACCAGTTCCAAACATGCCGTAACACCATGACGTGCAAAACAACTCGAACCGACAGAAAAAAATGAACCTGCGAAACCACGTCCTGTGTGCCCACGGCCCCGGCAGTCACACCTGTTTTCCCCGCATAACAGTTTATGACAGGATTTGAAGTAACTAGCATGAGCACATGAAGGTCATATGGTGGTGAGCATGCAGGATGACAGGTTGACACGTGACGCACTGTTCAGGCCCAAACGGAGGCACCAAAAAGGGGTGCAGCGGTTTTCATGGTAGCGGAGCTCTGCCGGGCAGCCCCCGGCATCTCCAGGGAATCCCTTTTTGGGTGATCTTTTGGGGGTTAGGAAGGTCCACCCAAAAGCCCCGGGTGGATACGACTGGTTGGGGTCACGCTCATGGCATCGGATGGAGCTGGCTTGGAACAAGCCATTGGTGGTGATGGTGGAGCTGCTGCCGCACAGGCAGCAAGCGCTTCGAGTGGAGTGCAAGGACTGGTGCAAGCCCTCCATGGTTTGATAGAAGTTCAAAAGAGTTCAGGGTTCACGAAGCACTTGAGGCCTCCAACAAGTTTTCAACCAGAAAACAGAAGTGAAGAGCTTAGCAAATGGATGGACTGGAGGTTCCAATTCGAAACGTTCGTGGGTGCCGTTGATGCCAGCATGCTCAACCACATGAAGCATGCTGAGAAAGAAGAGAACCCCATCAATGATGGCAACCCACAGATCCGAGCCCAATCCGAGAGGTTGTACTCCCTGCTCACTGGCCTGATGAAACAAAGGCCACTCAGGTTGGTTCGAGGAGTGAGCAACCAGAACGGCCTTGAAGCTTGGAGGATCCTGACTAAGGATCTGCAGCCCAGGACTCGTCAACGAAGCTTAGCACTGGTTCAAGCCCTCAATAAGGTCCAGTTTGATGCCACCAAGTCCGTGACCGAACAGCTTCCCCAGTATGACCTCATGGTTCGTGAGTATGAGAGAAGTTCACAGACCACCTATCCAGATGATTTGAAGATAGCTTCAGTGGTGGCAGCCCTTCCTCCCAACCTCAGAGTCCACATCCAAATGGCTTTGCAGGACGACACGACCTTCGAAGACCTGAGACAGAGGATTGAGCTCTATGAACAGGTCAGCCAGCGCTGGATGTCTGAAGGAGGCTTGCAGCTTTCTGTACGACCTATGGCCGAGGTTGAGGACAAGGGTGGACCAATGGAGGTGGATGCAGTGTGGTCAAAAGACGGTGGAAGAAAAGGTGGAAAGAAAGGAGGAAAGAAAGGCAAAGACAAGGGCAAGCAGAAAGGTAAGGGCAGCTGGTCCAAAGATGGAGGAAAGAAGGGCAAAGGAGGAAAGCCATCTGTCAAAGGTGATGGCAAGAAAGGCAAAGGCATGGGCACTTGTCACAACTGTGGCAAACCAGGCCACTATGCCAAGGACTGTTGGTCCAAGAAGGTGAGACGAGTTGAAGAAGAAGGTCAAGATGCGAAAGGGTCAGCAACAGTGACAACAAAGGATGGCCAGACTTCGGCGTCAACTGGCAGCTCAGCCCACACCGGAGGACGTTCGTCGACTGCGGGAGTCAGGCGGGTCAGACTGGTCACGCCGACAGGATTGGCCACCATGGAGATTTTTGATCTCACCCAAGGTGACTCCAATGAGGAGCAAGAGGGATCCGAGGCAGAAGATGAGACCTCGGAGCTGACCATCTTTGCAGTGACAGAGATTGCCGAGACCTATGAGGCAATGGATGACGAGGAGACCTTCTATGACTGTGATGAGGAGTTGAAGGATGAGTTGAAGCCTCCATCGATGGAAGAGACAGAAGCCCAAACCTCAGGACACAGAGATGATGGAGAGGCCAAGGCCATGGTTGAACCTATGAAGATTTGCATGATCAAGAATGTTGTGGCCTTGGAAGTTCCCTCCGTCATCATGACGATTGACTCCGGAGCAGATGTGTCAGTGGCCCCTGAACGGTTCTACAACCTTGGAGTTCCAGGTGCAGGCAAGCCCATTGAAATGATCGATGCACAAGGAGCCAAGATCTGCAGCAAAGGCAACCGCCGTCTACGACTTCAAGCCCAAACTCGTGATGGTGAGGTGATTGAATTCATTGAACAATTTGCATTGGGAGTTGGTGTGACCCATCCACTTTTGAGCTTTGGACGCCTTCTGAAGCAGGGATGGGGACTTTCCAAAGATGATCATGGTCTTTTCCTTGAACACCCAGAGAAGACCGTGAAGATTCCAGCAAGGTTGGAACGAAATTCGCTTGTTATGGATGTGAAGATTTGTGCAGTTCGAGCTGAAGGAGACGAACCAGAGGAACTGCAAGTCAATGCAGTGAGTGGAGGACGAGAAGAAGCAGTTGAGAGTGGTGGTGATGCAAGGCCGCCAGAGCATCCATCCACGCCAGCAGGTGAGAGTGCCGCAGCAGCATGTGAGAAAGGTGATAATGAAGATGATGATGTGACAATGGAGCTGATGCATCAATTGTCAAATGAAGATGATCCTGGTCAAGATGAAAGTCGGTCACCAGGTTACACCACAGAGGAGTCCGGCGACATCATGGTGAAAGGCAGCAGCAGTGAAGATGGTAAGGTGAAGGAGAAGTTGGCCCGTTGGGAGCGCTGGAACTTCAAGTTCAAGGAGGTGAAGAAAGAACCAGTTGAGTTGGCAAGCCCTGAAGAGCAAGTTCGGCCAGTCCGTGGAGCACCTCGACAGCTACACGGATACATATCACGTGAACTGGGCTTGTTAGAGCGACTTCCAGGCTGGCATGCACTACCCAATGGGATCGTTGTACACTCAAAGCCCATGGCATCACACTTCCATGACCCGAGCTCAAGCTTTGGAGATGAGTGGTGTGGTCGACTGACGTTGGCAAAGATGACTGATGGAAGTGATCAATGGGAGCAGCTAGAGAACCTGGCCAACTACAAAGACACTCCACTGCCTTTCCGGCCATTGCCACATGGGCCACGGACAACACTGACGTTTGTGGCTCCAGGTCTGATCAAAGACTACTTCGTCGTCACTTCGGAGGTTCCCGTCAGCCAATATCCATTGCTGAATGGAGAGCCAGCATCATGGCCAGAAGATGAGCAGGAAGACCAAGAAGGTGGCGAAATCCCATGGCTGGCAGCTGGAGGAGGAGAAAGGCCAGAGATTGCAGAAGATGTGCATTTTGTTGATCCTGATGAGCTTGAGGTCAGCATCGATGAACTGACGTTCAACAAGGACAACAAGCTGAAAGATCTCCAGGACATGTGTCGAAAGCTTGGGTTACCCACTTCAGGGTCAAAGGTGAAGGTGCTGAGAAGATTGCAACAATACAAGCACCATGAGGAGGAGAAGATTGCCTACGAAATTGCACAGCGTCTCTACAGTGAGCAGAGAAGAGAAGCAATCCCTGTGAAGACACCCAAGCTGCCGACCAAGCATGAACAAGAGCTTCATCAGCTCACACATTTGCCCTTTCAGGCCTGGTGTCAGCAGTGTGTAGCAACAAGAGCAAAAGAGGATGTGAGAACTGATGCTGACACTGCAGATCGCAAGGATCGTGGCCGCAACGTGATCAGCTTTGACTATGGCTACACATACACCTCTGGAGCAGCTGAAGAAAAGCAATGGGGAACTGCACTCTACGTAGCTGAATCTGAATCCAAAGCAGTGTTGTGCATCCCCGTCCAGGCCAAGGGCAGTCTGTCGCTCAGGCAGATTACAGAGGAGTTGACTCGCTTCAGCATGCAAGTGTGCAACACACAGCCCATCGTATTTCAGTCAGATGGAGAACGGGCAACCAGGCAAATCCTCCGAGCTGTTCAACATGCTCGAGCTTCAATCGGACTGACCACGGAGATTCGGACGACTTCCCGAGAACAACATGCAAGCAATGGTCAGGCTGAGCGAACAGTCCAATCTGTCCGGAAGCTAGCAAACACCCTACGGAGTTTTGCTGAGGAGAAAACAGGCATCAAAATCACAGGTGATATGCATTGCTATCCCTGGAGCTTTCGTCATGCAGCCTGGTTGATGGTGAGATATCGTGTGATCAATGGCTGCACGTCCTTTGAAGCCCTGACAGACAGGAAATACAACGGAAAGGTGGCACTATGGGGCGAGACTGTCTTGTTCAAGGATGTCACTGCCTTCCGCAATAAAGGAGATCCTGTCTACAAGAAAGGGCTATGGACGGGCAAAAGTACATGGAGTGACAGCCACATCTGTTTGACCCGTTCAGGTGCAGTTGAAGCTCGGTCAATCAGGCGTCTTCCTGACCAATTCGATGGACAGATGTTGGTGAACAGCAAAGGCCTGCCTTGGCAATACTCCATCCAGGGCATCCTGATGAAATCCCGTTTTGCAGCCCGGCAACGTCAAGCTGAAGCAGTTGAGGATGCTGAAGGAAATGAGATGATCGAGCAAGAGGCCAAGACTGTTGGTGAAGATGTTGCATTGGGCATGTATGGCCATGGTCCAGTGCTTGGTCAAGGAACACCAGGTTTTCCACTTGAAGGGTATCCCAGAACACCAGGGATCAACCCCAAACCAGCTACACCGGCACCAAGAACACCAGCAAGGCCTGCAGTAGCACCAGCAACACCAGGGACTACAACTCAGACCTGGCGGGAGAAGGCAAAGGCCAGACCGTTTCCTACGACAGCAGAGGATGAAAGTCCATCAAGGAAGATCAGCAGACTCCCAATTCCTGAGTCTATGAGAGGTGAACCTGCACGCAACTTCATGCAGGACACTGAGGATGTGAGCCCAAAGCGTCAGAAGACAGCTGAAGCAGGCAAGCCAGAAACCTCAATGGAGACAGAACGGCATACACTAGGAAGCAGCTCAGTGACGACTTTGCCTCAAGGGTCATTGAAGAGAGAACTGTTTTCATTGCCTTGGGATGCTGAAGATGATGAGAAGCTGCGAATGAGTCCCAAGAAGAAGGTGCGAGCCATTCAAGAAGAGTTTCCAGGAGGTGATGACATGCTGGCAGAAGAAATTTTGCAGTCAGCCCTGAACGATGTGAGTGAAGATGAAGAAGGAGAAGGTCATGCAAAAGAACGACCTCCAGATGTGTCAGAGGAGGAACTAGCAGCCTTGGATGATGAGGCATGTCGCCACGAAGAACGCCGCCTGGAGCAGATGGGAGTTCTGGAGAAGGTGAAAGATGGCGAACCCGACGAAGAAGGTTCCTATGTCCTCACCAGCAAAATGGTGATCACCTGGAAGTTCAGAGATGAGCAAGGGGGCTGGTTCAGGAGAGCTAGATTGGTTGGACGACAGTTCAAATGGAGCGTTTTCACTGAAGACTCCTTTGCACCAACCTCAGCTTCAGTGGTGGTCAGAATGTTGCTACGTCTACAAATGCAAACAGGATTAGCTCTCTACACGCTGGATGTCAAAGATGCCTTTTTGCTCATGGACCAACCCGCTGACGAGAAGGCAATGATTGTGACCAGCAACGGCAAGTACAAGTTGAAGAAGAATTTGCCTGGTCAGAGGAATGCAGCTGCACAATGGTTCAAAGGATTTTGTGCAGTGGCCAGGAACTATGGCATGGTGCAGGACGTGATGCAGCCGACTATGATGAAGAAGGACAAGAAAGTCAAAGATGAAGACAATGGTCGACTGTTCCTCACCATCCATGTCGATGATTTGCTGTTGATTGGTGATGAAGAAGAAGTTGAACGCTTCATCAGTTACATGGAACAAAAGTCTTGGAAAGTGGAGAAACGTGGTCCACTATACCAAGGAAACTTCAGCTACCTCAAGCGCAACATGGAGATGATTGAGAATGGCATTGTGATCCGCCCGGACAAAGAGCATATCAAAGCATTGGCCAAGGTGACCAATGTGGAGAACCGAAAATTCCGGACTACTCCGGGAGACAGCAGCTTCACAAAGCTGAGCAAGGATGATGAGCCAATGGCAGACGAAGATGTGACGAAGTACAGGAGCGCTGTTGGAAAGATCTTGTACATTGCCCCAGATCGCCCTGACATCCAGTTCGTGGCTCAGGGACTAGCCAGTTTGATGCAAAAGCCGACCAAGAAGGCTTGGAGGGCAATGCAGCATGTGAGCTCCTACTTGTTGGGGACCATTGACGAAGGCATTTTGCTGGAGCACGGTCCTAAAGGCAGAAGTGTCCTGAATGTCAATGAGGACACGCATGAATGGGAAGATGACTCCAAGGCCAACCTGCTCGAGGTGATCTGTGAAGCCGACTACGCAGGGCAGCAAGCTACAAGAAAGTCAGTGAGCTCAGTGCAGCTGTACCTGAATGGAGGACTGATGGAATCCTATGTCAGATGTCAAAGATGCATAGCACTGTCCTCTGGCGAGAGTGAATATGTGGCCATGGTTGGAGGATGCAGCGAAGGATTGTTCCTGAAGCATTGCTGGTCCTTTTTGACTGGAGAGGAGATCAACATGGTCTGCAGAAGTGATTCCTCAGCTGCTCGAGCTTTAGCTGGTCGGATTGGAGTCGGACGAACTCGTCACATTGCAGCCGGTTTGCTATGGTTGCAGGAGAAGACGAACGCCAAGGAGTTGAGAGTCACAGGAGTGCCCACGGCCATCAATGTGAGCGACATTGGCACCAAGATCTTGAGCAAAGCGCGCATGAAGGGTTTGAAATTCCTCATCAAGATGGTAGATGGGGACAATGAGAAAATTGGCCAGCAAGAGTTTGAGGAGATCCACGCCAAAGAAGAGTTGAAGAAGAACACGGGCAAGCTAGCAAAAGCAGTTGGCGGAAACGCAAGGATCGCATTGGTCCTGGCTTTGACAATGCTGCAAGGTGGCAAAGCATCAGAAGTGCATGAGATAAAGGAGACCCAGGAAGAAGAAGCATGGTGGATTCGGCCATTGATCACGCTGGTGTGCCTAGCAATGGTTGGAGCCTTGAGCTTGACAAGATGGCTATGGGAGAAAGGAAGACAGTGGTTCAATGGAAGACGAGTCCACAACGGCAGAAATGTGGAAGGAGAAGAGCCAGAAGAAGAGCAGCAGCCGCAGCAAGTGGAACACGAGACTGACATCGAGAAGGTGAACATGCAATGGCAGATCGTGCGGCTAGAAGTGGCACTGGCAGAAAAAGATGAGTATTTGAAGGAGATGACAGAAGAGAAGGATAGAATGATGCATGAGTACCTGAGGTTTGCGGACATGAATGTCAACCTCAGGGGTCAGCTAGAAGATCTTCGAGAAGAGAATCTTGGACTGACCAATCGACTTCTTCGCAGAGGAGGAGGCCATGATGAGAAAGAACAAGAAATCCAGAGGCTGGATGAAGAGATCAAGCAGTTGAAAGAAGTGAATGTGCTGCTGAAGGCACGCATTGACGAGATGAACCAAGCATCGAACTCGAGGCTGAAAGAAAGCCTTGATGGTGTGAAGTTCGAAATGGAGCGAAAGCAATGGATGATGACGCATAGTGGTGAATGCTACCACTCAGAGACATGTTCACACGTGGCCAATAGAGCCAAGAAGGTGATTCGTCCCTGTCCGTACTGCGTGCCCACCACCATGAGGGCCGTGACAGGATTTGAAGTAACTAGCATGAGCACATGAAGGTCATATGGTGGTGAGCATGCAGGATGACAGGTTGACACGTGACGCACTGTTCAGGCCCAAACGGAGGCACCAAAAAGGGGTGCAGCGGTTTTCAGTTTACGTTCAAGGACAGCGTTTGAGCAATCTCAATGAAATCGCTGTACATGAGTTAGCTCAGAAGGCAACACCCCACGCGAAAGTTGGTCCGCGTGAACGTTCAGCAGACCTCGAATGTGTCTTCCTTCAAGCGGTGGAAGCTCCAACACCTCGATCTCGAGGAGCAGTTGCCCTGCCACCCTGTTTAACGGGGGACTGGAGGCCCGAAACGTGAGTGCGGCATTCAAAGTACCGGTGTTATCGGTCCGTAAGAAGACTTTTGTGATGGCCCCCCCTGTACAAGTGATGAGAAGGCCCGCAAAGCTAACAAAACACAAAACAATTCCCATTCGGTTTGCCATGCTGGGTCGTTTAATTGACATCTGTCATCGACCCACGAAGCATCCTGCAGATCTAATTTGTGCATGAAATAACCTACAGGCTGAGTTCCAAACGCGATGAAGGCTCCTACCCCGGATGGGCAAGCATCCGTCCACAGTTCACAAAGTGCAACTGCACTGTGAACCTATAAAGTTTGGACAGCCTGCCTTCAAATTCCTGGGTGGGGGACATGGACCAAGAACCGGACGCATGTGGAGGAAACCATGAGTCGACCTGCCCTACAAGCAGCTCAGCACTCTTCCGTGCCATTCTTGTGCGCAACATGGCGGACAAGCCCTTGATCGCCCAACTCACCTGCTTCCAAAAGGTCAGGCCCTTTCGAAGCCCCCTTCTTTCCTTCGTTCAAAATCTCTTCAAACAATTGAACAAGTTTCAAAGTTTTCTCCTCTGTAAGAGCGACCCTCAGTGCGTCACCCTGTGCCCCGTTCCAATTGGAGTTGAACCCCGATCCACTCGACGCAGGGCCCACGGGAGACTTTGTGCCAAGCAAGGACGGCACCAAGGCAACACCATAACAAGGTTACCCGAGCGAACACGGAGGAACGATGCGACCTTGAGGGACCAAGTGCAATTTAAATGGGGTCATCGACGTAACATTGGGACCTGCCCTCGTTGTTCAGCAGGGAAGCTTGCCCCAATCGAAGAAAGGCTGCCGCCAGCCTGCCCCAAATTAGGGGTCCACAACAAAGTCCAAAACAGACCGAATTCAGAATGTAGTATTGATCATCGTTCCCTTTAACCACCGTGTTGGATCGCTCAGAGGGGTGCAAATGAAGAGTGTAAAAGGCGTCTGAAAAATCTATTATATAAAACTCAAAACAGTCTTGCGGTCCAGCCAGCTTAAGCAGCTCACCCAAACCAAAACCACAGGTTCAAACACTCTCATCTGCCCGTTCACACCCGAACGTCTCGAACTTTCTCGCGCCCTTGTTTCTCTTTGATGATGCGCGCCATCTTGGTTAGTGAGGCTTCACCAACTTCTGCCACAACATCTGCCCAGGTGCTGTTCCTGGTGGCCCAACCATGTTCGACCATTCGGTCTAGCTCCCTTTGTGCTTTCTCTCCAGCGTCCCGGAAGGACTGGTAGTTTAAGGCTGCGCCATCCCAGTCATCCATGAGGGCGAACGCCTGAGAGGCCTTAGCTGCAGCAGTCAAACCATCAGTCTGCGGGAACACCCCGGTATAAGGAGTGTCCTCACAAATGCCAATGGGACAACCCTCCACTAGCCAAGTTGGCAAAACATCTGTGTCAGGATCATTTGCCTGAGTCAACATGGCTTTCAAAAGTCCCCTCTGGTAGCCCTCTGACACAAGTTCTGCACGAAACTCCTGCACCAGCCTAAAGCGGGCTGCCTCGATCAGACCTACGTTGAATGGGCATGCATCTTTGGCGTTGTCAAATTCATCGAGCACTCCTTTGGTCAAGAAGTCCTCAAGGCATGCACGGATTCTGTCACCAACTTTGCGAAGGTGGGTCACGAAGACCTCCCACCGACTCCACGTTCTCCCTTTCTTTCTTCTGAGCTGAAGTTTCGTCTTGAAAGGAACTTTGCAACCCAGTGCGCGGAGCCTCGCGCTGCAAGCCCTCCTGCCTCCAGACATTGTCCAGCGACACCAAGGCATTGCTGTTGTTTTCCTTCTTCACTAGTGACCACTGACCTTCTGACGACAAAATCCATTCCCTCAGTTTGGTAGCCCAAGCCCAACAAAGTCCAGAGGGGTACTCTGCAACTTTCGAAGTTCTCCAGACCCACCAAAGGGTCCCAAACAAAGCCAACGAACCCGCCATCTCTGTGACGATGTAATCGCACCTGGTGGCACTTCAAGTTCACTTGAGACATCCATGGCGCAGTGCCCAGTATGCCTGTTGGCTTTACTGTCTTTGCACCGTAGGCGCGCTGGTCTAGCTCTGTCAAGTCCGCCTTGGAGTACTTTTGAAGTTGTTGTACCACCTTGACCAACCAAGCAAAGGAATTGCCAGGATTTTCCAAACTGAATTCTGCAAGTGGATGCCCCCAGCCTTCTGGGTGACTTTCTGAACGAACTGGCTCGACAGTCCCAAACTGGTCTGTTCTTCTTGCCCTTGTAAATGACTTGCACGGGAAAGCCGCATGCGTCCAGTCCGCATTCTCCACCTGCTCTTTTGCAAAGTTGAAGCCAGTCTCCTCCCTGCTGACTCCCCGGCTGGCACCCAGGTAGGGTCGCAGTAATATGCCATGGCCCCCTCACCTGGCACGCCAGTGCGGGGGGAGAGGCCGCGGCGACGGCGCAGCAACTCTCCTCCGCAGCGTGGGGGGGCTGCAGCGGCGGCTGCTGGACCTGCTGGCTCCCCTATGGAGGTTGATGACGTGGGTCGGGGCCCTCTTGCCCTTGCTCGGATGCCGCTCGTGCAGCCGGGTGGCAATCCGTGGGCACTATGAAAGACCACGTGGATGCACACCTCTCCGGCGCACTACAGGGTGATATCCCCCCGGCATGGTTGCAAGCCCAGGGGCGACAACGGTGCCCGGTTTGTGGCCTCAGCGTGTCCATCCGGCATGGCACTCACCCCACTTGCCGGCCATTGGCCCGTGCAGCAGTGGGCCATGCGGGGGAACCGCGTGCTGCTGGCCTCGTTCTGCCTGGCGTTGATGAGATCCAAGCCAGCCAGACCCCCACTTTGCGGCATATCCCGCAAGCAGCCAGGCATTTGTGGGGGCAGGCTCTCACCCGGTGCTTAGCGTCCGTGGTGCGTCACAATGACGCCACCGCTTGGCAGGAACTGCTCATGCTCCCTAAAACGGTGCTGGATGCACCAAAGCGGGGGGGCCGACAGCACCAGAAGGCCGTGGCTTCCTACACTTTGGATAGGCTGCAGAGATGGCAGGCAGGAGAGCGCCAGTCGCTTTGGGACAGTCGTGGGAAACTTTCGGGCTCTCGACGACTCCCCTCGTCATAGCGCCAAGAGATGGCCATTGGCCTCGCAAGGGAGGGCCAGGACAGAAAGGCCTGTGCAGCCCTTCTTTCAGCCGGTCTTTGCCCGCACACCGCCGAGACAGCTCAGGCGCTGCGTGGCTTGCACCCTCCCCATGCTCCGCCTGTGGCCCGGGCTCTGCATGATTTACTCTTGGCCCCAGAAGTTGTTCCTGATGCTGTGGCGAAGGCCTTGAGGTCCTTCCCAGCAGGCACAGCGCGCGGGCCTTCGGGATTACGTGTGCAACACTTGCGCGAAGCCAGTCACTGCTGGCGAAGCCGATGGTCTCTTCCAGCACTTGGCTTCCGTGGTTGGGCTTCTTGCACAGGGCCAGGCTTGCTCAGCGGCTGCAGCTGCCTTTGCAGGTGCCAGCCTCATCGCCTTGCCCAAACCCAAGGGCGGTGTTCGCCCACTTGCAATTGGCGAAACCACTTCTGGCCAGCGCAAGTTGGCGTAGCTTTTTCTAGTGGGGTCGAGGCTGCGGTGAGACATGTGCATCCAGCTGACCATGTTCTCCTGAAGTTGGACTTCAAGAAGTCGCGTCAAGCGGTTTTGGACGTTGTCCAAGCCCATTTCCCAGCTTTGGCACGGTGGACAACCTGGTGCTAGCAGAGGCCTTCATCCTAGTATTTTGGAGGGCAAACTGTCATCCCCTCGGCTGCTGGTGTGCAGCAAGGGGATCCGCTGGGGCCCCTGCTGTTTGCAGCGGCCATCCAGCCCTTGGCGGAGCAATTGCGAGCTTCCATGCCCTTTTCCGTCTTCTACTTGGATGATGGAGTGGTGGGCGGCGATGTCGCCTCGGTTAGCCAAGGCCTTCAAGCCGTTCAGCAAGCTGCGCGGTCTCTTGGGCTGACTTTGAACTTGGACAAGTGTGAGCTGGTTGCTGTCGGGCCCACCTCGGCTGCTGCCCTCACCGCCAATTTCCCGGCCCAGCTGCTTGCAGATTCGCAAGGGAATAGCCGTGTGCTTCGCAACTTTGATTTGCTTGGCGCTGCCATTGGTGCTCCTGACTATGTAGATGAGCATACCCAGCAGCGGGTGCATGCAGGCAAGCAGCTTTTGGACGCCATCGCATCCTTGGAGGATCCGCAGGTGGGGCTCCGCTTGCTCCGGGCCTGCGCGGGGCATTGCCGCCTTGTTCACAGCATGCGATGCAACCCCCCAGCCGCCCAGAGGTCTGCGCTGCTTGCATTTGACGCTCAGGTTCGGGCTTGCTTTAGCAGAGTCACGGGCTTACATCTGGATGTGTCGCAGTGGGGCCAAGCCTCCCGTGGTTTTGGCCATGCAGGGTTGGGCTTGCGGGCCACAGCTGCGGACGGTCCTGTAGCTTACTTGGCCTCCATTGGCGGCTGCGCGGCGGCTTGCTCTGACCTGGACGCAGCTTACCCAGCTGCACACTTGCAGTCGTTGCCCGCTGTCGTCCAGGCTTTGGCAGCCTTCAATGAGCAATTGGTGGGGGGCTCCCTCACTGCCGGGGCTGTCCTGGGGCAGAAGCAAAAAGCTTTGGCTGGCATGGTGGATTCTGCCTTGGGCCTGCCTTTCTGGCAGCTGTCCCCCATGGGGTGTGCCGCATGGAGTCGGCGGTCTTTCTTGCAGAGCTCCGCTTGAGGCTCGGGGTGGCGGAAGCTTCTTCCGACACTTGGTGCCCTCGGTGCGACTCGGTGCTCGGCACCTTTTCCCTCCACGCTGGTGTTTGCGCTGCTGGTGGGGAGAGGACCCGTCGACACCATGCCGCCCGTGAGGTTGTGCTCCGCTGGGCAGACCGGGCTGGCTTGCAGCCTGAGCGGGAAGACCCGAAGTGTTGCTCCCTCAGCGACCTGAAGACAGCCGCCTTGCTGCCCGGCGGCCTGCTGACATCTTCGTGCCCTTCTTTGGGGGCTCCCCAACCGCGCTTGACATCGCCATCACGGCGCCACAGCGAAGGGAGAGCTTACTCGAGGCGGGCAAGGGAGGTGGGGTTGCAGCTGCAGCCTATGCCCGAGTGAAGGCCCAGCGCTTGCAAACTGCCATTGTCTGTGAAAGGCAAGGGGTTCGCTTTCAGCCTGTGGTCTTCGAGTCCACCGGTGCTTTTGACGCAGCTACGGGCCATGTCTTGCAGCAGCTCGCCCGCGCGGTCGCAGCTCGCGCCGGAGGTGATGCTTCGGAGCTGCGTGGCCAACTCCTGCAAGAGTTGTGTAGCACCGTGAGGGCCTTTCGTGCCCGTGCGCCGAGTGGAGCTTGGCGAGCAGCGGCTGCAGTGCTGCGCGCTCCAGCGGAGGAGTCCTGAACCCCTTCTACTGAGCCAGGTCTGAGACGGTGTTAGCTTTTCATGTTTTGTTTACTGCTTTAGGCTGCTATTTTCCCTTTGGTGTTCTTCCTTTGTTTTGAAGGCACCACTGTTTGGTTTCCCCGCGTGTCTCTTTGTGGGGCTCCCGCTCTTTCGGTGCCCCAGCGTGCGGCCGCCGGCATCGGCTCCCAGCTGGGTTCTTTTTTCTCCCCTTGTGGGCGCCCTCTATGGATGGTTTCTACCGCTGGGTCAGCCTCCTCTTTTCTTTTGTTTTTGCATGGTTTTGCCCCTTCAATGGAAGGCGCGTTTCCTATTTTGTACAGAGGTCCTGAATGATCCTTGGGCACCACTCTGTATATGTATATATTGGTAGGTAGGTATGTCATGTGATGCATGACCTGGTAGGGCTTTTGGAGGGTGTACGAACTCCTCCCTGATGTCTCAGTGATGGTAAAGGTCTTGGGGCTCCAAGACCTCCACCAGGTCGCCAACCAAGTCCTTCACGGCACGGGACAAGCCACCCATGCCTGCAAACAGCTCCAAGAATCTCAGCTTTCGGACAGGCGGGTCGGGACGATGGGAAGGGACAGGAACCGCATGGTGGTACTCGACGCCTTCGACCTCGAGCGGCCAGTCCTGCACCCCTCCATCGTCCTCCTCTGCTCACTTCTTCCACTTGTTCTTGCCGCCACCATCGCCTTTGCCCTTGTTGCCCTTTCCCGAGGTTCTTGGACACTGTGCATTTGGATGCCTTCAAGAAAAAGCTGACAAGCGTGGTCCCGACCATCTTTGCAAGGTTCCGGGCAACTGTTCGCTGCCCCTTTTGCAAACTTGTAACAAATTTCCACTCCATCCGCATTGTGCGAAAAGAGTCCGCCTTTTGCTTTGGCATAGGGTGTCCCTGACTTCGAGCTGCTGCCACCATCGCCCTTCGAACTGGCGTCCCAGGCTGCCCAAGAAGACCATCAAGAAGCGCCCGCCTGTTGCTGCCACCTGTCTCTTGCGTCTTTCTCTCGACGCCTTCTCTTTGCAGCCTTGGACATGCCAAGGCCAGGTGGACTGTCCGTGGACTGCGACGCCCTGTCGAGGATCTCCTGAGCTGGCTCTGGAATGGTGGCCTTCGAAGCCTGATCCAAAGTCATCTGCTTCCCTCCCCTGGCAATGAAATTCTGCGCAGGTCTGACGACATGTTCGTCCCAGAAAGTTGAGTCTCGAGCGGCGTGGATGAAAACACCAATCCATGGAGCATCGGCTGCGAAGTCCAGCCCCATAGGAAGCTTGCCGTCCACCGCTGCCTTGACCAACTGTCTTCGATAGCGCTCGAACATCTCTGAACGACAACGGTCCTCTGCCTGCATCAGCAAATGCCAAGTTTCGGGAAACTCCGCATTGAGCTTGACCGCCCTCTCGAAGTACTCCTCGAGACACGCTGCTGACACAACACGACGATGAGGTCCACCTGCAACAACCGGTGGGTAACGCAACATGAACAAGGCCGATTAACCTTCCAGCACGCAGCCCAAGTGTCGAAGGAGGGCGGTCCAGGAACGCCCCAAGCCCTGAACGATCCATCCTGCTGGAGCATCCAAGACCTGGCTTTCATCTGTTTCTGAACTCTTCGGCCGAAAGGAGTGAGCACGCTGAAGTCTGCATAGGGTGCTTCTCCCCGGTCGACGACACGCGCCTTCAGTGCTGCAATCTGTTCGGCAGTAGGCTCGGCGTCTGCCGGAGGATCTGCGCCGGTGATCTCCACGTGAAACCTGTATGCTTCGTCCAGTTGAGCTTGAGTCAGGATTGGGACTTCTGACTCGTCCATCTGTTCCAGCACTACAGCAGTGTTCACCTTCTTTTGAGCCGGCGTCCCTACATGACCAAGAGCTGTCCCAGTTGAAGGGGGACCACCCGAACTTCCCAAGTCTGCAAGAGGATTTATATCTGCCAGACCGAAGGCCTGACGTGCAACTCTCCATACAAGCGCCAACTGAATCGCCTCGACAACACTGAGCTCCCTGGGGTCGGCGCCACCCGGTTGGGCGATTCGCACCAGGGCCAAGGTCTCGCGAAAAGCACTGTGGGCCATATTGGCCAGTACCCGCAAGTTGGGTTGCCAAGCTTGCCACGCAGCGTCCCCAACGCCAGACCATCTCTTAACTGCTTGCAAGTCGGTGAGAGCTGCCAACTCCGTGGCCGTGGGCAAGACCGAAGCTGTCATGCGAAGCCTGAAAGGCCTTCAACGTAGCCGCAGGTGGTTGAATCTCAAACGGTTGAGGGCCAGAAAGAAGGGGCAGACCAAGATCTCACTGACCACCGGCAGCACACACCCAAGATCCAAAGCTCCAAGATGACGAAGAGGAAGTCGTCCATCGAATGCGAGGGGACGCAACCTCCCCCCTCCCTCACTCAGAGCCTTGAGCCAAAATTGGCCCGAGGGAGGGGGGAAGTCATCAACTCAACACACAGGCCCATCACCACCAAGTGTGCAAGAATTATTACTTACAAATAAGATTTGTCGCGCAAAAACTTTTATCTCGACGGTTTCTGGATGCTTATTGTGGTTGACTTGAGGGTGAGCCTTTGGGATCACAGCCTGTACCGTTGCCCAGAACATCCCCTCATGGCACAGGTCATTGGACAACCTTGGCATTTGGAGCCGGGCCAACTCAGTGATTCGCTTAAATATTTGGCGCCAATGCGACTCATAGCCTCGAACTCTGAGATCGCACCTTACAGGCTGCTGGGGTCGCTTGCGGTCAGGTGCTCCCGTTTCGCCCAGGGTGAAGAGACGACATACCACAGCTGAGTTCTCGTTTAACTCTGGGGGTCTGGGGCTAGAGCCTTTTTCGCGACCCGTTGTCTCAGCGTTCGCAACCGTTGTCAACCGTCCGCAACCGACCGCCGTCGTCCGCGGTAGGCCGCTAAGGCCGCTGCCATTGGGGGAAGGTTTTTGAAAGGGTTTGGCATGGAAGCGTGATGTGTCAGATTTGTGTGAAATAGCGAGGAAACGTGTGGAAACGTAAAATGTTGAGGTGTGGAGGATGAGTTCACTGCGCAGGCGCGGCGTTTTGTGAGATCCAGAGTTTTTTGCGCAGTGGTATTTTTGAAGTCGTGGGTGTGGCTGTTACATTGGGATTGGAGTTTGAGGATGTTGCTACGAAGCTGTGTTTTCGTGACAAGTCTCAGCTGAAATGGCGATTTTGGTGGATGGGAGTGTGCTCAGAACGTGTCAAATTCATTCCAAACGTGTGGTGGTGTGGTGCAAATTTCGTTGAAGCTTACATGATATTGTCTCTCTTCATGGCGCAACACTTTGTGCGGCTTTTGAGATTTGGAAGTGCGATTTTCGTGGCAGGCGCAGGGAATCGTGAGGTTGGGAGGTGCGGCGGAGATCTCGTGGCAGGCGCGGTACGTTGTGCATGTTGGAGGTGTGGACGCAAATTTTCGAGGCGGGCGCAGGGGATTGTGAGGTTGCGAGTTGTGGTGGAGGTGAATGTAGCTGTGACACTGGGATTGGCGTGTGAGCGGGCGTTGTTTGGAGGGGCTGGACTCGCGAAACTGCTTGGCAGGGCTGCTTGATGTGTGTGCTCCGACGGGGCTTCCCGGTTGACTTTTGGAGGAAGCCTCCTATGAAATCGTACGAAATGCTCGTTTTGGAGACTTTGACATGTGACTTTTGGGGGAAGTCTCGTACGAAACGCTCATTTTGGAGACTTGACGCGTGACTTTTGGAGGAAGTCCGGCACGAAACGCTTGTTTAGCAGACTTCAAGTGTGAGTTTTTGAGGGCGCGAAACGCGCGTTGCGGAGACTTGACGAGTGAATTGAGTAAGAAATCTCGTGCGCAACGCTCGTTTTGCAGAATTGAAGTACGACAGTGTCTGACCAGAGTGTCCCACAAGAGTGTTGCACAAGAGTGACACGCAAGAGTGTCCCACAAGAGTGTCTTACAAGACTGCTTCGCAAGAGTGTCCTACCAGAGTCTCCCACAAGAGTGAAAAACAAAAGTGTCCCACAAGGGTGTCCCGCAAGAGTGTCCCACAAGAGTGTCCTACAAGAGATTTCCACAAGAGTGTCGCACGAGTGTCCCGCAAGATTTTGCCGCAAGAGTGTCCAACAAGAGTGTCCCACGAGAGTTTCCTACAAGAGAGTTCCGCGAGTGTTCCACAAGAGTGTCCGACCAGAGTGTCCTACAAGAGTTTCCTACAAGGGAGTCCCAGAAGAGTGTCCTAAAAGAGTGTTCCGCAAGAGTGCTCCACAAGATCCTACAAGAGTGTTCCGCAAGAGTGCCCCACAAGAGTGTCCTACGAGAGTGTTTCACAAGAGCGACGCACAAGAGAGTCCCACAAGAATGTCCTATAAGAGTGTTTCGCAAGAGTGTCCCACAAGAGTGTTCCGCAAGAGTGCCCTGCAAGAGTGAGTGTCATACAAGAGTGTCCCACAAGACTGACAAACGTCCCACAAGAGGGTCCCACAAGAGTGTCCTACAAGAGTGTCCCACAAGAGTGTCCCACAAGAGTGTCCTACAATAGTGTCCTACAAGAGAGTTCCGCAAGAGTGTCCTACAAGGGTGTCCCACAAGAGTGTCCTACAAGAGTGTTCCGCAAAAGTGCCCCACAAGAGTGTCCTACGAGAGTGTCTCACAAGAGCGACCTACAACAGTGTCCTACAAAAGTGTTCCGCAAGTGTGCCCCGCAAGAGTGGGTGTCATACAAGAGTGTCCCACAAGAGCGTCCCACGACGAGAATGTCGACAAAAGTGTCCTACAAGAGTGTCCCGCAAGAGTGTCCCACAAAAGTGTCTCCTACAAGATTGTCAAAAATTGTTTGGGTGTTTGTTTTCGAGTACGCGTTTGCATCCGGGTTCGTGGGTTCCATCTTGTTTCAGATTGAAGTGTTTACGTCGACAGCCGAGAATGAATGGTGGCCCGGCGCTGGGAAGGACTGAGCGGTTTTTGATTTTTGTTGTCATGGAAGTGAAGTCTGCCGAGATTCTTGTGCCAGTGAT